CTAAACCACACGAGTAACATGTAAACGCATCCCCACATCCGGTGTAGTTAAACCCGGCCTCTGCTAATTCACTAATCAATTTCTCTCTGTCAAAAGACTTTGCCCTGTCTTGTGGCATTTTTTCAAGAAAAAAAGCTTCAAACGACTTCACTCTGGCTTCAAGAGATATATAGGTCTTATTGATCCGTTTTTTACAAGCACGAAATAACGCTTTTGCATTTTTGATGAATTCATCTGTCTGATTCTGTCTAACAAAAGGACACGACTGATTGAGAGCAGAATGAGTGACCCAGGGATTGTCATCCTCTCGCCAGCTGATCACAAACCGTCCGCAAGCGAAACAAGTAGTAAATAGTGGGGCACCTCTACAGAAAAATCCGGCTTCTGCAAGTAGTTTTGTCTTCGGAACCCGATCGTTCGGACTGAACGCAGGAAATGAGTCCAGTCTTTTTTTCTCGTCAGCATACTCCGGGAACTTAATTGCATGACTAGGTGATTTCTCAATTGTTATCTGGAATATTATCTTCATCCACAGTTTTCTAATATAATCTTGATCAGCAAGATGACCATTTAACGTGCAACCCAGGGTAAACACAACCCTAGCCCGACGGAGAGTAGAAACATCCATTATATTTCCACAAAGAGAAGCAAAAGCGTTATCGAATTCAGTAAGGTCTATGTTTGTTTTGATTGAGTCGTTATCATATATAAGGCTGACCGTTGTATCAGGAGAGCAAAGCATGGTACATTCCCCACACACCTTGGTTATTCCAAATGTGCTGTGTTCCTGACTGTGCTTCAAAAATTCAGCCATATCAATTCGGAGGATTTCACTGCCTAACTCCACCATAACCCCGTACACATTGAATAGCATAAGCGGCAGGTCTAATCCGTGCTGATGTAGACTTTGTGACACGTTTCTAGCTCCAAGATAATGGCTAAAAAGCGGTCGTTTATAACGCAAGTTTCTTATCAGATGTGCTTCCCAATCAACGTATCCGAACTCAACTACCTTCGTACATCCGAGGCACGCCAGGTCATCTTCAAGAACAACAGCGGGGTCAAGACGCAAACAAACGACATTGTTATTTGACAACTGACGTAAAGCTAGTGAAGCAAAATAAGGTAAAATGGGGTCGTCTTTAAATGATGAAGACAAAACGCATAAGATTTTATCTGTCTTACGTAAAAGATTTTTAAAGTTATGAAAGATTCTCTGTTCTTCAGGATTGTCCTCAAGGGTATAACATTCTAAGCCTGCGTCTTTCAACATGGGCATCAGCTGTTTCGTAACAAAACCCCAGTCACGATCATGATAAATGATGCTTATCCGGCGAATATCTGATGGAAACACCGTGGCAGAATCAACTTCAGAAGAAAGAATTTCTTTGTTCAAAGGTAAAGATGAAATATATGAACCCATTGCTGATCTGGTAAGTGGTCCAAAGTTTCAAGCTTTCAATTATATTCTGAAAAATATGCATCTTAATAAGGTTTAAATAGTTAAAATTGATACGGTAGACGCATTAGTGCTGCTATAACTGGTACCAGAAGTGACACCAAACATCAGTACATGGGAATCTGTTATTCATTTCTATGTTATACCATTTACTGCATCATACGATCTTTGATCTTATAAAATTCAATTTACTGTGAAAGTGGAAATTCCCGCATTTAAACTGATCGCAATGTGGATTTTTTTCGCATTGCTTCTGAAACTCATTATTTTCGCGCTAAATAAACTAAACGCAAAAACAAATACCAAAAGCTGCGAGCATTTTCACACCGCAATAATGTTCCATTTACAGCATTATATACACATTTTTATAAAATTCTCATGATTTAAAATATTATTGTGAACACGCAATATCCTATATTGCTATGTACAGTACTATCAGATTTCATCACATACCAATACACCATGTGATTAAGGTGACCGCAATGATTGATTTTCAATAGTTTTGTTAAGCTTGAATTGATCGACGTATTCATATTGACCGGCCTAGCGTTTCTTATGGTACTATATATATGAACATGTATATGTACAGATCCCGTCAGGTATTTGCTACGTGTACCATTGTGACTTATTTTTAGCTATTACTACTATACTCCTATTCATCGTAAATAATGACATTCATAAACAAATGATTCCGACAACAAAAAAAGCTTTACCTTTGTGCTTAGTTATGATAAAATGGAAAAGAATCTCTCCGACATACTTTACTTTTTATAAGATTATTACTGCACAAAACCATATTCTAAAATTATACCCTCCATAGTCTAAGCCATTCAATATACGGTATGTTTTATATAGAATCGATGAAACAAGCGTCTGCTTCACACACAAAACGGAACTTCCAGAAACAACATTTGATACAGTAGTTAATAATTTTTCTAACAAATTCACACGATGTTAAGAAGAAGTTTATTTCATAAATCTTGAGTACAATACTATTTTAAATATGTTTCACATAGAACTATTGACATACAGATAACGGTTTACTTACATTTGTGCTGAATCGATGTAGTTCTCTCTAGCGGGTATGTGTTTGTCCGATTGATTAACTCGTCTGCTGCATCTAGGAACTCTAACATTATGTTAATGAAATGCTGGTTATGAATGTTTGTGGTCTCAAAACCGCTGTCGGAGAAGAATGTCAGGCGCACCCTTGTTAACGGCTAGGTGTGTATGTGTACCCACCCGTACGCTAGGTGTGTAACACGTCATGCATAGCTGCACCTTATGTACAAACGTGTGTACATGTATTGTCGAACACACAGACGGCCTCGCTAGTTACATTTTTGTAAGACATTTGGTATGCAGCAGATAATATTTAAGCAGTAAAAATAGGCATTACGTAATGACGACGGTAATACAAACAGAAAATTTCCTTCTATAGAAATTAAAGATAAATCTCAGTACCATAATAGGCGATATTCAATTATTTAGAATAAAAATGTAACCAGATAACTCACTTTTTCTTAACATTTAGTAAATTGTGTGTTTTATCTATCTATTAAAGGATACGTTGTATGAAATGTTTTTTTTTTCGTGTTATATCTGTTACAGGAGAGGAGAAATGCACGGCCAGACCAGGATTCGAACCTTGGAACTCCAAACTCTAGATCGATCCACTGGTCGCTGGCGATTGACCCAGTCCGGTTCCGCTACATTTCTCTCTTTTTTACAACCCAGGTTCGGGACCTCCCGACATTAAACAGACGCTCTAACCCACTGAGCTGCATGGTCGATCGTCGCAGTCCAGTTCCGCTACATTCTATTTTTTTGGATAGGTTTTATGTTCATATTACTATCTAACTTGGTAGGAATCATCGATAACCAATTTTGTTTAAATCTAATGTAACTATATATGTACAACGCTAACTATTGTGAAGCTGATGTATAAAGTTACCTAACGTAAACTTAGTTGCTGGTAAGTTACAAAATGTATGTGTAACGGAACAATGCTAACTATTGTGTAGCTGATGTATAAAGTTACCTAACGTAAACTTGGTTGCTGGTAAATTATGTGTAAAGGTACAACGCTAACTGTTGTGTAGCTGATGTATAAAGTTATCTAACGTAAACTTGGATGTTGGTAAGTTCTGTGTAAAGGTACAACGCTAACTGTTGGGTAGCTGATGTATAAAGTTACCTAACATAAACTTGGTTGCTGGTAAGTTATGTGTAAAGGTACAACACTAACTGTTGTGAAGCTGATGTATAAAGTTACCTACTGTGAACTTGGATGCTGGTAAGTTATGTGTAAAGGTACAACGCTAACTGTTGCGAAGCTGATGTATAACAGATACTTTACGTAAACTTGGATGCCGGTAAGTTATTTGTAAAGGTACAACGCTAACTGTTGTGAAGCTAATGTTTAAAGTTACCTAACGTAAACTTGGATGCTAGTAAGTTAAGTGTAAAGGTACAACGCTAACTGTTGTGTAGCTGATGTATAAAGTTACCTAACGTAAACTTGGATGCCGGTAAGTTATTTGTAAAGGTACAACGCTAACTATTGTGAAGCTGATGTATAAAGTTACCAAACGTAAACTTGGATGCTTATAAGTTATGTGCATGGGTACAACCTTAAGCGTATGTTTTACTAGGAGGTGTCAGGATGTGTCATCTATATGTGTATAAATAACTATAAACAAAAATATATATCATCATAATGATATTAACATATCAATAATGATAATAATATATAGCGGCCTATCTAGCTAAAATAAGTCACTCTAAAGCGTTTTACAGTACATAGATATACATTTTTTATATAACCAATACAATTAGCATATACATTAATCAATACAATTATGAGGAATTCGCAGGAGCTGCCTTATCAGGCGCTATCTACTAGTCCTATACCACCTGGCTAATATCTACCTATGTGTGTATGCCTGCGTGTATGCTGGAGATGTTTTGTAATAAATCCACCAAAACAAACTATTACGTCACATCAGGTATTGCAAATCGTATCCTGGAATACGATAACGCTAACCCACTACACTGTATCGTGGCAACCGCCCCATGATACAAACTCACAATCACTTTGTGCCAGGTGAAATAAAGATTGATGTCCCACTGCAGGTACATACCGTATCCCATTGCGTCTTTTCGTACAGACACTTCCCAATAACATCCCTTGAATTATATATAAATGCATATATATTAATAGTATATAGTGTAATCAAGGTAGGTTTGATGTCATAATCCTGATCTGGCCTTTTTGTATTTTTATACTCAGAACTCTTTTTTTTTATTAATCATAATTTTTCATAAAATTACGGCAAGGTCTTTTTTCTTTTAAAGGAATAAATTATCAATTCTACAGTTATGCCGTTTGAAACGTTTTAAATACAAAGTTACAGATTTTGACAGTGGTACGGGAGACTTTATCACTTTGTGCATTTTTGCATCATCCCAGGAAGCAGTTTTACACAAAAACAAATCATTTTTATATATAAACCATAAAAAAGAAACCTGGATAATTTCTAATAATTTTATTTGAAAGGCAAACAACGACTTCAAATGTACAAAGCTAGTTGTTATTTATTCATATTTGACAGTAAACATTGTGCGCGTTAATCATGATATTATAATGAGGTTATCATTTGTTTCACTGGTTTTGAAGTTATCCCACATAACTTTAAACAATGTAAAAAGCAAGAATGAATTATATATTTACAAAAATACAAATAAATGCATGTCGGCATATGACTGAACATTGTATCACAAGATCTGAATGAGATATTCTGTATGAACTAAAATTTACAATATGGCACATATTTAAAACTCATCATAGGCAAAATATAAAATTAAAAACAGAACAATGAAATGTCAACAACAGAACAATGGAATGTCCACAACAGAACAATGGAATGTCCACTTTACTGATGTCAAAAGGGATTTTAATGCTGCACTGAAGTTAAGTTGGTAGAATGAAGTCACTGAGGGATGGATTGAAATAGATTACTACTATTAGCAGTAAATCTGATTTAAAATGAAGGCGTCAGAGCAATGGCAGTGAATCGGGATGGGAATTGACAGGACTTAATTGAACACGTAGTATAAATGTAGGAACAGCACTGTATGCCCACAATAAGGTGGCGGAGCATTACAACGGAATCCTTAATGTATCATTTAAACTAGGATTTGAGGAAGCACCTTCCCCAGTAGTCTAGACGTTTTGAATTTCCACCCCACCCCAACCCCACCAAGCATCACCGATTAGTCATAGAACGACTAAACAGCTGTATGATGCAATTCATTATATTTTTGGCTTACTTTATCCATTGCCAAATAAAGGTGAAATCACGTACATTTGTTTGTGCGTGTAATACGTTCATTTTTGAGCAGACAAAATGACGATTATAAAAGTATTAGTAGGATAATAAAAACTGATGAGTTCAGCTGTTCAGATCCTTCTGCTATAGAAATTATCTAGCTTATATAAACGGACAGTTATGGAGAAACTTCTTTGGAGAGGATACATAGGCATGTATACAGAAGAACATCTCTGACCATGATAAACTCATAAATGAAGATGACCCTTTTTAAGACAATACCAATCATTTGTATTCTGCTCAAAACTGTTCAAATGATAACCAAAATCTCATCTTCATTACCTATTGATAATTGTCAATATTATTTTCTATTAATGATGGTGAATGCCATCTACTATTAATGGTCACTATTATCTTTTACTAATGATAAATAGTATTACCTTCTATTAATGAGTTGATGATCAATATTATTTGACTAACACATTATTAGCACTGTATGCCTCCAATAAGATGGCGGGGCATTAAAACGGAAAACGGAATCCTTAATTATTACAATTCATTTATCACTTAAACTACGATTTGAGGAAGCACCTTCCCCAGTAGTCTAGACGTTTTGAATCCTCCCCCCCCCCTACCCCCTCCCCAATAATCACTGATTAGTCTTAGAACGACTAAACAGCTGTATGATACAATGTATTATATTTTTGGCTTACTTTATCCATTGCCAAATAAAGGTGAAATCACGTACATTTGTTTGTGCGTGTAATACGTTCATTTTTGAGCAGACAAAATGACGATTATAAAAGTATTAGTAGGATAATAAAAACTGATGAGTTCAGCTGTTCAGATCCTTCTGCTATAGAAATTATCTAGCTTATATAAACGGACAGTTATGGAGAAACTTCTTTGGAGAGGATACATAGGCATGTATACAGAAGAACATCTCTGACCATGATAAACTCATAAATGAAGATGACCCTTTTTAAGACAATACCAATCATTTGTATTCTGCTCAAAACTGTTCAAATGATAACCAAAATCTCATCTTCATTACCTATTGATAATTGTCAATATTATTTTCTATTAATGATGTTGAATGCCATCTACTATTAATGGTCACTATTATCTTTTACTAATGATAAATAGTATTACCTTCTATTAATGAGTTGATGATCAATATTATTTGACTAACACATTATTAGCACTGTATGCCTCCAATAAGATGGCGGGGCATTAAAACGGAAAACGGAATCCTTAATTATTACAATTCATTTATCACTTAAACTACGATTTGAGGAAGCACCTTCCCCAGTAGTCTAGACGTTTTGAATCCTCCCCCCCCCCTACCCCCTCCCCAATAATCACTGATTAGTCTTAGAACGACTAAACAGCTGTATGATACAATGTATTATATTTTTGGCTCACTTTACCCATTACCAAATAAAGGTGAAATCACGTATGTACGTGTATTACGTTCATTTTTGAGCAGACAAAATGACGATTATACAGGTATTAGTAGGATAATATGAACTGTTGAGTTCAGCTGTTCGCATCCTTCTGCTATAGAAATTATCTGAACCGACCATGAAAAATGTATAAATAAAGATGATCCTCGGTAAGATAATACCAATAATTTGTATTCTGCTTATTACTGTTCCAATGATAACCATACTCTCATCTTCATTATTTATTGAAAATTGTCAATAACATTTTCTATTAATGAAAATTAAAAGATATTAATGGTGAAAGCCATCTTCTAATAAAAGTCACTCTTATCTTTTACTAATGATGCACAGTATTACCTTCTACTAATGAAGTGATGATGAATAGTATCTACTAACACATTATTAATGATAGACGATATTATCTTCTATTAGTAGTCAATATTACATATTATAAATTATTACACATGGAATGATGGTCAATAATATCTACTATCAATAGTTATTATCATTTAATAATAAATTATTAATGGTGGTGATTGTTATAAAATATTGATTAATGACAATTATACATATACTATTGATGGTGATCTATAGTATGTAGTCCATACAATCTACAATTTATTAACGTCAATATTATCAAACGGAATTGTATTACACTCGATATCTGGACTCAGAAATGTGGTTGCCGTGTCAGGGGACTCAGCATTACACAATGATGTCACTTCCTTTTCACTACAACTTCCTGTAGGTACAAACAGTTTTAAACTATTCTGAAGTGCCCGTTGAGACTGTTGTGTATTTATTATAGGATTATCAGAACCACATTCTTCTTGACTTGTTTTCTCTAAACATTTATTACAGTCACCGCTCCTACCGTTTGATAATCCTCCTACGCCCAGAAACCTATATATGTAATTATCAAGTTTTTGATACCTAGTTTGGTAGCCATAAAGGTCTCGGGAAGTACTACATTGACAACAAATATGTCCCATATCACAACTGTTGCGTCTTGGTGCACATATTGGCAATCTGTTCCTTAATCCAGAACGATTAATGTCTTCATATAAACAGCTTTTAAGATTAATATGTTTTAAACATTTGAAAATTTTATTTTTCGATAATGAACACGTGCGTGTTTGAGACGCACAAAAATCCAAAATTGTTATCCTGGAATAATCTTTGTGCTGAACTATGCTGTTGAACACATTTTCATTAACTTTGTCTGCTGTTGAAGAGCTCGGAATAAAAATCACATAATCACTCTCTTGTATGGCATCGAATTCCCCAGTTAAAACCCCTGAAAAAAAGCAATCAAGATAAAGGTATTGGCATTATATCAATAAGACCCACTTAAAATTGACAGTGTAAGTTAGAAGATATTCAACTTCGATTCCAATAAGCTTTTTTAATTTCTGATTTTATTGTCATTTAGATAACTACTTGTTTCGAAAATCTTAGTAATTAACAAATTACTTCAAAAGAAACAGTAGATTTAGCTTATTTTTGAAAGACATACATTAGAACAATACTGCAGGGATAAATTGATTTTGCATTGTCCTCTGATATATACATATACATATATATGAGGCAAAGAAGTAATTCCAACAGTGTGGACAAGTTTAGGTTGGCAAGTTTTTGGAGCGATCCGCTCCTTTTTCAAGACACAGTGAAACAGAACAGTTACATGTACATATACATCATATTACTAGAAGATAGAACTGATATACTATAATTGAAAATATAGCTATTATATAAAACCAATAGTCCCATCGGCTTAAGACAGCCGAAGGTAGCAATTAAGCTGAGATCATCGCGGACAAGGAACGCTGATGTAGAGGACCTATTCTTGCGCAAGATGCACTATCACATAAAGTGAGTTAACGAGAGATATCAAAAACGTGGAACATGTGCATGTGGAAATCTGGGCCAATAAATGTGAAAAAACTCAATTTGCTACGGAATGTCTCATTAGTCGCCTCTCAATTCTGCGGTGGATCTAACAGTCACAGCAGGGGGTTCACACTTAGTTGCCTCTTTTGGTTTGCAGGAATAATGCATGTAATTATCAAATAAGCGAGTGCAGGAGGAATGAGTAGATGAAATGGCTAAGATACTGTATGAATCTGCAAAATTAATCTGACAACGGCTGTTGGTCACACACACTGACATGAAGCAGCAGGCAGGCGAGATAGCAGACCAACTGTGCAGTAATGCATCATTAGGTCAAATGCCCCCTGGAAGGAAATCGAGCGGATGGCAACCGCCTATCGTTCGTTCATACCTCGAGGGTAGCGGGTTTGTAGATTGGTGATCCAAAACCGTTCTCTCGTACGTCGTTTCGTTTCATACCATGTAGGGCAATTTAGGTATTGAGGAGCCTTTCGCCGCAGCAGGGTTAGGTGTAGGTAGCCTGCTGCTTACCACAATATCTCTAATGTGTTTAGGTCTACGATATGCCAGTATAGGAGACTCTGGAAAGATCTGCCAAAGTTTCGCTGAAGATTCGATGATGCGCCAGTGCTTTTTAAAGATAGATGGAAGTGGCGGCATGTCTGGGTGGAACATGACTACACAAGGTACCCTTTGTGTTTGGGGTCTGACTTTGTATACAAGCATACTTGCCCTGTCCAGTACCCTCACTTTGTCTATTTCCCGATCTATCAAAGTACATTTGTATCCTCTGCCAAGAAGATGGGACTTTAACGCTGAACATCTGCGTTCTTTGACCCATACATATACATATATATATACATAATAAACATCGGTCCTCCTGAAAAAGCCCAAGAAGGCAGACAGGCCTAGCAGTCAGTCTTGTGCAATTGTTGTTTTAAATTATACTATATATATATTATTATTGTTAGTATAAAGTGTTTTGTTCCTTTTATTAATGCATATTATTTTAGCATTTGATTTGGGATTATTATTTATAACAACTGATTAAAAGAAAGTGTTTTTACCTGTACCCTTTGAATCGCAAGAACAGACAACACTAAGCAACGTGTATTCTCTTGCTATCCACTCCCGTACGTTATTGGCACATGTTGTATCGTCGTCACAGTGCAATATGCACACTTTCTTGACTTTTCCTTTGTCTAAAAATTATTTGAAAAAGTAATGCTCAGTTGTGTTTACTTTTATGATCAGAATTACATAGCATATATAATTCCCGACATTCAACATAACGATTAGATCAGTATATAAGTTTTGCTGCATTCCTTATTATGTTTCAGAATACATTTGGCATTAATTCCTTTCTTTTGACCTGTTTGAACAGCTTTAATTTGTTTCACATCTAAATTAAAAAATAATAATATACCAAAAATATTCAACGTATAAAATAATAAATACAACAATTACTGGGTTGCTATTAACAGCTAAGGTTATTTAAGGACGTGACAATTAATTGGACTTACAACTCGGACTTGCATGTGCAAAAGAGGAAATATTACATCGAATTGTATTTATATTCAATTTCAATCCTTCTGAATATATTGCTTCCCTTAAGGTTCAACAAGCACCCTAAACGATTATATATTCACCACAAATCGTAACCCCATGATAAACCATATTTAAAATCCCCATTAAAATTGCAAAATATATAATTATGTAATTTGAATATAACTCATTTGTACATGCCCTATTGAAATGGTCATTGCATTTCACCAGATTAACGTTGCAATAATAAGGCATTATCTATATTACGACCCAAATGAATACCTCGAAGAGACATATCATCTCAAGTTCATTTAAATGCTTAGGCCATGCGGCGCTTCATTTCTCTTTTACTCGCCGCGGAGAGGCATTGCGGCTTCAAATAAAGATAGATGTTGTGAAACCACTAAAATCATAGTATAATTGCATGGTAATATTTGTATATGATTAAAAATAGGAAAATACTGGCAATCATAGTATAATAATCTAGATCGATAAAAGGACATGGTATGACATTTTATGACATTCTGTAATGTTATAAATGTGCTTAATATGTTATAAATCTTGAAACTGAAAATTGCTATAATGTTTACAACTTGTATAGCGCTCCAGAACAGCATTACATGTTACAAAAGGACACTTTATATAAAGTGGTTGTATTTCTTAGAGTCCCAAGACCTTGGTTTTACATATAACCGCTAAAATATATTGCCCAGACATTATACTATAATTAACCACAATCATCTTGTTATGAGGATTTTACACCTCTTCACAGCTACATAAATATAAATTAATCGCCTCATGAATTATATGAAGACATAACCTTTGCTGCCTATTTACTGACTATGTTAACTCCCTTATGTATAATTTTACTAGCCCATGTACAAGTTATATATTTCCATATCACTTATGTAAATTCCTATTTTTAATTTGGGTATTTGAATATGATTTATCATGGGGTTGGAATTTGGGTTGACTATATCAACTCTTAGGGGATTTTTTTGATCCCTGATTAAACTCGGGACATGAGAATGACAAAAGCGCTTGACTTTGATTTGCCTGAATCATGATTAATTAGAGGTAGAGCATGTTTCATATATTTTTTTCTCCACATAATTACAGATTTCACAAACTCACCGATCAACCGTCCCGGAAAGGACATCCTAGACAATATCCAGATATGACACTTTTGACAGTAAAATATACAGATAAGTATAACAAGAAAAACAGAACCACACGGTACTGCAAACATTTCAATGTAGTCAAGGCTAGCCACTTGTCGAGTCTGCACTTCTGTAACATTAAAAGAAAAAGAAGCACACGCATTTAAATATACTACATGTAAGTATGTGATATGCTGGTTTGTGATAACTATAAGTTACAAAAATAATTTAAAGAAACATGCAGTTTGTCATGATATTACATATATTCATCAGTTGTCATCACAACTCGTTTTTGTCTCTTCATACTTGTACACTGTCGTGGGTATATTTTCTGTTCCTGGATCAAAGAACAGTAACCTCTTTGTTGCATTTTCCTTGTAAAACATTATACAGTTCTCTCACATTCCTTGGTGTCTCCTGTATGACAGCGTTGGTGGTTTGAATGGTTTTTCAATCAGGTGACCAATTTAGTTGCCCTTCTTTGAACTCCTTCGATTCTTTTGTCAATATACTTTGTTTTATATGGAAATGACACTCGCTAAATCAAGATGATTTCTAACTTATGATTTGTATAGCAAGATGAAAATGTTTTTGTCTATGATATGAAATGATCTTCTTTTGACTGCCATATACAATTAACTGAAGTAGTTTAATGTTGAAGAATTAACACCATGTTACCATTTAAGACTTAACCCCTATTTCCTATTAAAATGACATTTCTAAAACAATTTTTTCATGTTGGTATGTATGAATAGTAGAAAAGTTATGTATCACAATACGATAGTACCATTCACCTTCATCAGACAAATGACCAGTGAAAATATGTACGAGTTGGCAGTACTCTGTTTAATCAAAGTCGATTCGGATACGCTTTGTTAAATACCTGGGCCCGTATTCATGAAACCGTTCTCATGCTCGAATTGATATTCTGCGCTCAAGCATAACTTCTTGTTCTGGTGATAAATAAATTTGATGTTTGGTGATGATTTGGAAGAATACCGGGTATATCATTTTTATCGCTTCACACAATTTGAGCGAGTTACAAGAAAGTTGGTTTGGGCACATAATCTATGTCTGGGAATGAGAACGTTTTCATAAAAACAGGCCCTGGTCATAGATGTGCAAATTACAACAAAAATGACACTTTCGTCAAAATGCGAGCCCTTAAATGATATTGTTCTAGTTTAACCATATGTACACCACTACATTCAGAGTTTTGTATATTTGTTTCGAAGTTTAGCATTTACTAGTTTGCTCCAATTCTATTTACCGTTTAAGATAGAAAAGCTTCCCATTACTTCCTGTAGCTTTCCTCCGTAGCACGCTGTCACTGTGATTGATACCTTCATACCAATGTCGTCCTGGGTGACTTCAGGAAGGCAAATTTTTCTGTCACTGTGGGTGTAATATGAATATAAGAGTTTCATTCCTTTTGCCTTCAGCTCTTATTATCATAACATGCGTCCTATCTTGGGAAACACAGGGTAATGATGCATGATTACAGAAATGTTAGGCTTACCTTAAGGTACCTTTTCTTAAGAAGATCAAGGAATTGAACAGTAAATATGTGCTTATCATGCGTTCGCCATTGAACACGTAAAAATCTCAGAAAGGAACATGAAGTCACAAATGGTATTATACAATTAATTGAATACTATAAAGCATATATCAAACATTGCAAATCTCAATTTATTTATTTTTGTCATTTGAAAGAGTTTTATTTGTATACAAAATAGGTTCAAAACTCTGTTATAAACGATTATTTTGCACATATATTAAACTATGAATGCATTTGTATACATACCTGTATCAAAATGAATATATTAATTATTTTGTATGCTGGTTAAACGTTTTGCACAAAAATAAAACAATTTCAAGAGTAACGTTTTAAAAGTATAACATTTCACAAACGACAATTGCAAAATTTTAAACATTAAATGATAACAATTGTAAGCACACTCACACACACACAAACATACACACAATTAATGTATGCAGTCATTTACCTTGTACAGCCCTGTGCATTTGAAGTCTTTTTGGGGATGCCATCTTTATAGAATTGAATGCTGATATTTCTTGCTGTGGCTTCACATCCAAAATCGACATAAAAGGACTTCGTGAAGGGTTGTCCAATTTTAACAAAGACATCATTAGGAAACTTGACTTCCGGCTCATCATAACCCAGTGTGCATTCTGAAAGATGAACAATATAGCTATTAATGAAGTAATGTGATAAATTTCATATTAATAAATAGTTTACTAACTTAATAATCAGTTTTACGTTTTAATAATGAATATAACATCTCATAGTAATTAGAATAACATTTTAAAGATGAGTATCACATCTTAATAAAAAATACATCTTCTAATCAGAATTATTACATGTGTTTTGATCAGTACTAAATATTTACTAATCGTTGTGACATATTTTCTGATCGGTGGGTCACTTTTATCATTTATACACAAGAGTTGGCATGAAATGTGCATAAACATATATATATATATTACACTTACTAGTCAATAATACGCACAGTAACAAAACCACCGATATACATTTACAAGGTAAATGACTGCATATATGTATTGTGTTTGTGTGTGTGTGTGTATGTGCTTACAATTGTTTCATACTAAACAGTGTTTCACAGTATTCAGTGTTTCATATTTATCAGTATTACACACTTATCAGATTTATACATTCTGTAATCGATATTTCATAATAATCATGATTACACATTTAGCAGGGTTATAGATTATAAAATCGGTACTTCATATTAATCATGATTACAAACTTATAAATGTTACACAATATATAATCGGTATTTCATATTAATAAGTAATTTACATCAATAGACATTACATATACATACGAACTAGTATTGTATACCTATTAATTGGTATTCCGTTGTACAAGACTACTTATAAGTATAACATGCTTACTGGTTCCATTTACTTGTATGGTTCGCTCATCGGTGATTTTGTTACTGTGCTCAGTGATGCATCTGTAAAAGCCCATTCGATAGTCGCGAATATTAACGATGGATATCGTCTCATTGGTAACATCGAGTGGTTTCCAAGACTTATCGTTGGTAAAATTGAGTGGTTTCCACATTTTAAGGTCTGGTGTGAAGAACCATTTCCGACTTGTTATGTTGTTTTCCTTGTCACAGCAATGAAGATAAATCGTCTTAAACTTTGGGTTTCCTGGTTGTACTTCTATAACTGAACACACAGGTTTGTCATAACCACCTGCAACACAACACATACATAGTGTATAAAACAAAGAGCTTGTTCAGGATCAACTACAGTGGGTTTCACAATGCTAATACTGGTTAACAATACAATTAAGGCGGTATGCTACCTTATACATTATAGCTGTTGTTTGTATTAAATTTTCCCCTAGGTCATACTCAACCTCAAACTTTACAATTTTAGAATTGTGCTAGAGTTATCTCCCTCAGATTATATGGTACCTTAGATGTTAAGAGCTATTTCCGTCAAAGTTCATGCTATGTTTTACAGTATATCCCATAATTGTGTTTGGTCGATATCTCTCAGGATTATATTACAGGCACGGCTAATATTGTAACCTAAAGTGTTGAGTTACATCTCTCAGGATCGTATGATACCGTAACACCTAGGTTTGTGTTAGATACATTATAATTATAGTACCGTAAATATTATATCATATATTCGTGGTAGAACTCCATGTATATAATACTGTAATTATTATCTATTAGATTTTTGTTAGAGCTATATCTGTCGGGATTATATGATTCCATAAATATCACAACCTCTATGATCATATACTACCGTAAATATTATGTAATGGATGTGGGTTAGAGTAATATCTCTCAGAATCTTAGGGTACCGTAAACACAATAACCAAACTTTGCATTATAGTTATATCTCTAGGAACATATGGTACCGTAAGTATTATAACCCAAATTTGCAAATTTGTGTTATAATATTTCCCAGTTATATTACATCATAAATATCATAACCTAAATTTGTGCTACAGTTACCTATATCTCTCAGGATCATATGATATCGTAAATATTAAAACCTTGGTGAACCGAACTAATCGTATGAGGGATAAAGTGTGTGAACATGTAAGTGAAGCTTTATAGACATGGGTTTACGAAATTAAATCTGAAGAGGGATGACCCAAAACATTTCTGTATACACCAATGTAACTGGTGCAAGAGATTTCGTTTTTGAACGCATGTACGAATTGTCATGACGATTGTCTAAAGAGCGTTTGTCAAGGACACGTTAGTACACGTACGTATGGGAAAAAACATATATAACCTCGATGGCTATTCATGAGAGCCAATTAAACTTTTAGTATTTTTTTCATAAGCTGTGCAAGTTCGTCAACTGGATAAAAGAGGAGGAGTTCATCACTATTAATCATTTTGAATCAAGTGTAAACAAAAAACTATTTTCTGTTCATGAAACTTTTATTTCTAGTAAATGTTGATCCAAGTTTTTGTTCAGTCTTTTGCGAATATCTAATCTTTGATTTCTGACTAACTTACCGGCTGTTGCACCATCCTTTAGTTTGCAGTAATGCCTCTTTGTAAAGCTCTCACAACTGTTTTCCTGGACACATGACGATTGAGGAGTTGTATGAACACAATGCAGAACCAACCATAGGAGAATCACGTTTGCCCCTGTAGCCTTCATCGATGTTTCCGGTTCGATCGTTGTTAAAGTTATGTCTGCATTATTAGCACATATAAAAAAGGAGAGAAAATCAAATAAATATAGCAATATCAATTTGCGCGTGGGGGTGCTGCAAGGGAGATGGTAATTCAAATTGTCATTGATATTCTTTGTATTTTTCGACTTGTATTTTTGCATTTAAAAAAAAAAAAAACACCTGTTAAATATAACTTTAATCAAAGTTAACTGATCAAGACATTGTACTTGAAATTATCACTGCAGAAACTGCACAATTTCACTGCGACTGTCAATTAGTGGGAGAAAAAAGGAAGAGCCGTGTTAATTTGTTTAACGCTATCTTCCAACTGTCATTGAAAAAAATAATTAAACTTGATCAAGCGACAAATTGCCGTATACACCGCGAAAAAAGCAAAACGGTAAGCGCTCTACTTATCGACCGAGGACGTCGCTTTCTAGATATTTCGACTTGTAGAATGCAAAACGCTGTTCCTTGTTGCCACGACAATTTTTACTACGGTCTGACCACAACTCCGTTTTTTAAATAAATGCACAATTATATGTACGGACAAAAGACAACCATCAGTGGTTATCCGAGAGAGTTTTTTCAGTACTTTCTGAGAAATCACGTTAACAATCGAATACAAATATATTTCAGCATGAACGCCTGTCGGTAATCTCGTTCTTGCGATCATGCCAAAATCGAATAACATAACTAAAGACCATAAGGTATCTGTGAAATTTGCGAAGAACGGATGGTGCTAATTTATATCCCAATTACAAAAAGTGACAGAGATATTGTGATCAGAAGTATATCATACTAATTTATATTTCCAGTAAAGTCAGTGTCAAAGAAATAGCTGGTCAGAAGTATATCATACTATATATATATATATAGCAAGTTTATATTTACAGTACAGTCAGTGTCAAAGAAGTATATCTGAAGTATATCATACCAATTTTCATTTACTGTACAGTCAGTGTCAAAGAAATAGGTGATCAGAAGCATATCATACTAATTTGTATTTACAGTACAGTCAGTGTCAAAGAAATAGGTAATCAGAAGTATATCATACTAGTTTCTATTTACAATACAGTCAGTGTCAAAGAAGTATATGAGAAGTATATCATACCATTTTTCATTTACAGTACAGTCAGTGTCAAAGAAATAGGTGATCTGAAGCATATCATACTAATTTGTATTTACAGTACAGTCAGTGTCAAAGAAATAGGTGATCAAAAGTGTATCATACTAATTTCTATTCACAGCAAAGTCAGTGTCAAAGAAATGGGTGATCAGAAGTATATCATACTAGTTTATGTTTACAGTACAATCAGTATCAGAAAAATAGGTGATCAGAAGTATATCTTACCAATTTTCATTTACAGTACAGTCAGTGTCAAAGTAATAGGTAATCAGAAGTATATCATACTAGTTTCTATTTACAGAACAGTCGGTGTCAAAGAAATAGGCGATGAGAAGTATATCATACTAACTTCTATTTACAGTACAGTCAGTGTCAGAGAAATAGGTAATCAGAATATATCATACTAGTTTATATTTACAGTACAGTCAGTGTCAAAGAAAAAGGTGATCAGAAGCATATCATACTAATTTCTATTTACAGTAAAGTCAGTGTCCAAGAAAAAGGTGATCAGAAGAATATCAAACGAATTTCTATCTACATTACAGTCAGTGTCAAAGAAATAGGTAATTAGAAGTATATCATATAACCATTTTTCATTTACAGTACAGTCAGTGTCAAAGTAATAGGTAATCAGAGGTATATCATACTAGTTTCTATTTACAGTAAAGTGAGTATCAAAGAAATAGGTGATCAAAAGTATATTACACTTGTTTCTATTTACAGTAAAGTCAGTGTCAAAGAAATAGGTGATCTGAAGTATATCATACTAATTTCTATTTACAGTACAGACAGTGTCAGAGAAATAGGTTATCAGAAGTGTATCATATTGATTTCTATTTACAGTAAAGTTAGTGTCAAAGAAATCAGTGATCAGATCATACTAGTTTATATTTACAGTACAGTCAGTGTCAAAGAAATAGGTGATAAGAAGTGTATCATACTAATTTCTATTCACAGCAAAGTCAGTGTCAAAGAAATAGGTGATAAGAAGTGTATCATACTAATTTCTATCTACAGTACAGTCAGTGTCAAAGAAAAAGGTGATCAGAAGTATATCATACTATTTTCTATCTACAGTACAGTCAGTGTCAAAGAAATAGGCGATCAAAAGGGTATCATACTAATTTCTATTCACAGCAAAGTCAGTGTCAAAGAATTAGGTGATCAGAAGTGTATCATACTAATTTCTATTCACAGCAAAGTCAGTGTCAAAGAATTAGGTGATCAGAAGTGTATCATACTAATTTCTATTCACAGCAAAGTCAGTGTCAAAGAAATGGGTGATCAGAAGTATATCATACTAGTTTATATTCACAGTACAGTCAGTGTCAAAGAAATAAGTTATCAAAAGTGTATCAAACTAATTTCTATTTACAGTACAGTCAGTATCAAAGAAATAGGTGATCAGAAGCATATCATACTAGTTTATATTTACAGTACAGTCAGTGTCAAAGAAAAAGGTGATCAGAAGCATATCATACTAATTTCTATTTACAGTACAGACAGTGTCAGAGAAATAGGTTATCAGAAGTGTATCATATTGATTTCTATTTACAGTAAAGTCAGTGTCAAAGAAATAGGTGATCAAAAGTGTATCATACTAATTTCTATTTACAGTAAAGTCAGTATCAGAGAAATAGGTGATCAAAAGTATGTCATAATAATTTCTATTTACAGTACAGTCAGCGTCAAAGAAATAGGTGATCAAAAGTATATCATACTAATTTCTATTTACAATACCGTCAGTGTCAAAGAAATAGGTGATCAAAAGTATATCATACTAATTTCTATTTACAGTACAGTCAGTGTCAGAGAAATAGGTTATCAGAAGTGTATCATATTGATTTCTATTTACAGTAAAGTCAGTGTCCAAGAAAAAGGTGATCAGAAGAATATCAAACGAATTTCTATCTACATTACAGTCAGTGTCAAAGAAATAGGTGATCAAAAGTATATTATACTTGTTTCTATTTACAGTAAAGTCAGTGTCCAAGAAAAAGGTGATCAGAAGAATATCAAACGAATTTCTATCTACATTACAGTCAGTGTCAAAGAAATAGGTAATTAGAAGTATATCATATAACCATTTTTCATTTACAGTACAGTCAGTGTCAAAGTAATAGGTAATCAGAATTATATCATACTAGTTTCTATTTACAGAACAGTCAGTGTCAAAGAAATAGGCGATCAAAAGGGTATCATACTAATTTCTATTCACAGCAAAGTCAGTGTCAAAGAAATGGGTGATCAGAAGTATATCATACTAGTTTATATTCACAGTACAGTCAGTGTCAAAGAAATAGGTGATAAGAAGTGTATCATACTAATTTCTATTTACAGAACAGTCAGTGTCAAAGAAATAAGTGATCAGAAGTATATCATACTAGTTTATATTCACAGTACAGTCAGTGTCAAAGAAATAGGTAATTAGAAGTATATCATATAAATTGCTATCTACAGTACAGTCAGTGTCAAAGAAAAAGGTGATCAGAAGTATATCATACTATTTTCTATCTACAGTACAGTCAGTGTCAGAGAAATAGGTTATCAGAAGTGTATCATATTGATTTCTATTTACAGTAAAGTTAGTGTCAAAGAAATCAGTGATCAGAAGTATAACATACTAAATTCTTTTGACAGTACAATCAGTGTCAGAAAGATTGGTGATCAGAAGTATATCATACTAATTTCTATTTACAGTACAGTCAGTGTCAAAGAAATAGGTGATCAGACGTATATCATATAAATTGCTATCTACAGTACAGCCAGTGTCAAAGAAATAGGTGATCAGACGTATATCATATAAATTGCCTTCTACAGTACAGCCAGTGTCAAAGAAATAGGTGATCAGACGTATATCATATAAATTGCTATCTACAGTACAGCCAGTGTCAAAGAAATAGGTGATCAGAAGTATGTCATACTAATTTCTATTTAAAGTAGTCAGTGTCAGATAAATAGGTGATCAGAAGTGTATCGAACTAATTTATATTTACAGTACAGTCAGTATCAAAGAAATAGGTGATCAGAAGTATATCATACTAATTTCTATATACAATACAGTCAGTGTCAAAGAAATAGGTGATCAGAAGTATATAATACTAGTTTATATTTACAGTACAGTCAGTGTCAAAGAAATAAGAGATCAGAAGTATATCATACTAGTTTATATTCACAGTACAGTCAGTGTAAAAGAAATAAGTGATCAGAAGTATATCCTACTAATTTATATCTACAATACAGTCAGTGTTAGGATAGCACAATTTATCATCTACAGATTATACTGATATACATGTAAAGACACTGTTATAAATGACAAATTACTTAAGGTTTATCCAGCAAATAACACTACTTAAAATCTACTCGACAATCAGTGATATAGAAACACAGGTGATCATCATTATATGGTCAGATGCTATATCTTCATAACAGGGAGGAAGTGCATTGTTCATCAGCAGATTTTACTAATGAAAAAAGTAATTGATCACAAGAAGATTATTCTAATTTCTTCCAATATTCAAATAAGTTAAAAGACAAAAATAATCAACAGCATATTGTTCTGAGTTACACGTACAGTAAAATCAGTGGAGGAGAAACATAAATTAATACCTTTAATAAAGTCAGTGAAAGAGAGACATAAATGATCACCAGCAACTTGTTCTAATTTATACCTACGGTACAATTAGTAAAAGAGATACATACATAATTACCACTAGCAACTTGTTATAATGTATACCTAACGTAATATAAGCGAAAGAAAGACACAAATGAGTTGCATGAGATTGATCTTATGTATACCTACAGTGATGTCAATGATTGAGAAACACACATAATCACCACCAGCACATTGTTCTAATAAATACAAACAATAGAATCAGTGAAAGAGAGATACAACTAATCACCACCAGCACATTGTTCTAATAAATACATACAATAAAATCAGTGAAAGAGAGATACAACTCGTCACCACCAGCACATTGTTCTAATAAATACAAACAATAAAATCAGTGAAAGAGAGATACAACTCATCACCACCAGGACATTGTTCTAATAAATACAAACAATAGAATCAGTGAAAGAGATATACAAATCGTCATCACCAGGACATTGTTCTAATAAACACATACAATAGAATCAGTGAAAGAGAGATACAACTCATCCCCACCAGCACATTGTTCTAATAAATACAAACAATAAAATCAGTGAAAGAGAGATACAACTCGTCACCACCAGCACATTGTTCTAATAAATACAAACAATAGAATCAGTGAAAGAGATATACAAATCGTCATCACCAGGACATTGTTCTAATAAACACATACAATAGAATCAGTGAAAGAGAGATACAACTCGTCACCACCAGCACATTGTTCTAATAAATACAAAAAATAAAATCAGTGAAAGAGAGATACAACTCATCACCACCAGGACACTGTTCTAATAAACACATACAATAAAATCAGTGAACGAGAGATACAACTCATCACCACCAGCACATTGTTCTAATAAATATATACAATAAAATCAGTGAAAGAGAGATACAACTCGTCACCACCAGCACATTGTTCTAATAAACCCATACAATAAAATCAGTGAAAGAGAGATACACCTCATCACCACCAGCACATTGTTCTAATAAATACGAACAATAGAATCAGTGAAAGAGAGATACAACTCATCCCCACCAGCACATTGTTCTAATAAATACAAACAATAAAATCAGTGAAAGAGAGATACAACTCATCACCACCAGGACATTGTTCTAATAAACACATACAATAGAATCAGTGAAAGAGAGATACAACTCATCCCCACCAGCACATTGTTCTAATAAACACATACAATAGAATCAGTGAAAGAGAGATACAACTCATCCCCACCAGCACATTGTTCTAATAAATACAAACAATAGAATCAGTGAAAGAGATATACAAATCGTCATCACCAGGACATTGTTCTAATAAACACAAACAATAGAATCAGTGAAAGAGAGATACAAATCGTCATCACCAGGACATTGTTCTAATAAACACAAACAATAGAATCAGTGAAAGAGAGATACAACTCGTCACCACCAGCACATTGTTCTAATAAATACAAAAAATAAAATCAGTGAAAGAGAGATACAACTCATCACCACCTTCACATTGTTCTAATAAATACAAACAATAGAATCAGTGAAAGAGAGATACAACTCATCACCACCAGCACCTTGTCTCTATGTTTATTCCTAACGTCAAATCAGTGAAAGAGAGACACACACATGATTCCTAACAGATTGTTATCTATTGAAAAATGAGTAATAGGGAGACACAAATATTTCAAATATACATGTATATATATACATGTGACAGAGAAACACTGATCACCAACGTTATTAATTGATATCATCAGTGACAGACAGAGCTAGGTGACAAACACACACAGGTGGTGACCTGCTGATCGTCCAGTACCATCAGTGACAAATAACATAATGCTATAATAGTGTTTTATATAATATTTACGGTAACGAACTGATTATAGATATCGAGTAATATGTGAAGTACATTTATTTAGTAATACTCCCTACAAGTACAGATTGAATGCTACTGTACACAAGTCAATGACACTTAAGATATACTCCATTACTAAACGTCTTTCGTACTTAAACACCCTCTGACCACACAGCTAACACATTTCAGCTAAAACTGTGATCATAATTAACTTATGATTACTGTAAAGTCATATACATTATATACGACACAAACACAATTTATATCTTCTATATACTTGAAAATTGTTGAAACATGCTGCCTTACCTGGATTCAATGCGTAGCAGTTCAGGTACTCTCCGTCTTAAGCTAAATTTAGGGATGGACAGTTGTTTGTTTACTTCCTGGTAGTTGGCGATAGATTGGATTATCTCCCTTGCATCAGTAAGTAATGCTAACTTTAAAATAACTTCTGAACCTCTTTGTAATTTAAACTTTTTTTGTACCGATAATACGATATATTATGCACGTTGATACCTCAACATTGCCTTCGGTTTACTCACCTTTCTAATATTAAGAATCGAGATCAAATTCTATCGTTTTATACAAAGTCGTGCATTAATGAAAATAATTAAATTACATTTAGCAACAACAGCTATGAAAAGGTTTTGGAACTGACCTATTTTTATACATATCAGAAAAAACCCCCAGAAAACATACTACAATCACATCGAAGGTGCTGGACACACTAATGTGATGTATACTTTATTATTGTATAGTATACATTATTATGACAGGTCTAGTTCATATCTTTAACCTTCGGATCAACATTTAGTAGTGTATATTATACGGTATTTATTTACAATGTAACTGAATAATACAGGTGACGAAGGAAGACAATTTAATGACTCGTGAACTATTCAGGCCTCGAAATCACAATCTAAGGCTCTAAACTAACCCGTTGTCAGTATAAATTAACGAGCCTTGTGGAATACTTTGCGTCGTGCCTTTGGTGTCAGTGAGGTACACACAATGTTTCACTATTAAGTCGGCATCATATTCGCGCTATGGTAAGGAGAGGCATATAGCCCAGGTATATTTGTGTATGTGCTTATTTACCCATACAAGTTTTTTCCACATTTGTTAAAAGATGAAAGAGATACACTTTTTTCAGTATTTTGACCTCGGTATGTAAGATATATGTGATATTAGATTTTTCAATTATTTTACAAAACATATATATTATTGGTTAAATATATGAGATTGATATCTAATTTGTCTGTTTATTATTTTCCTTCAGAGTTAAATAAATATCTCTTTAATTTTTGTTAGGTTAGGAGTACAGATTGTTTTCAGTACAAACGAACGCCCATGTACCGGTTTCGTCATCACATTAGACTAAACTGGCAACCGGTTTTTTTTCATTCAAATATATTTCAGGAGTTTGGCATATACACGAACACACATGCACCACTCATCCACTCACACACACCAATCATCATCATTATCATCCTTCTAACACTATCAGGAAACCTGGTACGTCATAATTAAACTACGTGTACTTAACTGGTATTTTTGACCTGTTAATATACATGTAGCTCGATTTATCGATGGTTGCTGTTCTGTATCTCAGAATTCATTTAGTCCGGCGATTATCAAGGGTTCCCCATCCTGACTGTTGCGGAAATTAACCATGGCTAACGCTGTTTATAGCTATTAAATGCATTCGTATCTGTAGTGACACTTTAATACAATTGTGGAGCACTTTACGTGTATTTTTAGTTTACATTATTCAATTAATGCCGACTACTACTAGCTAAATGTTAAGCGTATCATAATACATATAATTTGTGAATCAACTACAGAAAAACGGTTTCAGCCATAATTAAGACTACAAACCAAAACAGTGTATGTTAACTAATGTTTATTGTATGTTACAATGAAAGGATTGGTGCCCATTTTAATGCTTAAGCGAGTTGTAACCTATAAGCACGTTTGCAGAAATAAAATCCAGGGTAAGGTCATCTTGAAATGGGACCCTTAAATATCAACCGGTCCATGCATAGAGGGGTAGAGTTGGAGGGGCGAATTATGTTTTTTTTTTTTTTGGTGATTACAGAAAAACTGGAGCTCTGTTTTTCAAGACATTGATATGGTAGTTACAACTATATGTGTTCTTTTTGATGAAAAACTTTTGCAACCTACATTAAAAAGTAAGTCACTGTCGCTGGCTGGATTCAAAATGACCCAAAACAGATAAGAATGTTGAGTAAAGTCTTGACTAGAACACTGAGTTATATGTGATAGATCCTTGATAAAATTGATGAGTTACCCGTAAATCTGTGATAGGCATGTGGTTAGAATATTGAAAAATATTATATATAACCTTGAAAAGAATGCTAAATTATATGTGATAGACCCGTGACTAAATTTTGAGTAACATTGTAGATATGTTATAGACCCTTGGTTAGAATGTTGGGTTTATATGTTATAGACCCTTGGTTAGAATGTTGGGTTTATATGTGATAGACTCTAAATTGGTGTGTTAAATTATATGCATTAGAGTCATGATAGGAATGTTGAGTTTTATGTGATAGACCCTGTATTAGAATATTGAAGCTATTTGTGAGAAACCTTTGAATAGAATGTTTGAGCTGTATGTGATAAACTCTGACTTAGCAACAAGATTTAATATATGTTGTTTGATAAGAATGTTGAGTTATGTTTGGTGTGATATGTGTAAGTATACATATGACGACACATCGAAAACATACGCACACACCTTGTTTTTTATGAAATATTTGCATATAATTACACAAACATACATAATTGTGGTTGCAAACACTTGAGAGTACAGCTGTCTCGCCATGTCTCTTTAGCCACTTCTTCATTAACCGTCCTTAACGTCCCGGTATTTATGAGAAAATTTCCATAATTTGTCCCAATTTGTCCCTGGCCAACCGGATTTAGCGTTAAGCAGATGGAACATACAACATTAATGCTTACAACAACTAAATACACATCATTCCTTAGGAATGCGTTTGAGAAAATAAAAAAGCATTCATTTTTCAAAATTAGTATAAGAAGATGGAATTTACATCATTTTAAATTGTGGTAACCAAAAATAACTATCCTTTCAGACTTTATTAAGAGATGAAATAGGTGTTATTACATGTACGCTTACAATATCGGAACGTCTGGTCTACATTTTCTTCTACAATTCAATGGTCTCCACGTGTTTGGTTTTATTTTGCTTAACGTTTTATTAACAGGAAGTAGAAAGCACAAAAGCAAATCAAAAATTCTAAAAGGGGGTGGGGTCCGCATTAGTCGCCTTTTACGATACATGCAGTGGGTCACAGCAGGTATATTTTTTTCGATTCCCAACCTGCAGGAGTGTTTATTCAAGGGCATATTAAATTGTGTATTATACTTTAATTACTATCATATACTTTGTGCCATTCGACGTAAAATAAAACCTTATCCAAAACCCTGCAAGTCGAGAATTGAGAAAGGGATGTGCATGTTGAAAGAGGCAACAAATGTGGGAACAGCATGCAGAACTTAGGATTTGCTTTCGTTGCCTCCTATTTGCAGCATTTGTGTATTTTATATTCCTTTCTACTATATACATTGTAACAGCATGTTTGTTTCCTAGCGCTCCCTGGCAAGACCTTATATTTCGAATTTCTGTGGAACGTTCGTCGAATAGGGGTAGGCAGTGGGTTCCGTCCCAATGACGGGACATGTCAGAATCCTTAATATTGTGGATGTTATGACCTGCTAAATTTTCAGCTTTTTTTGAGTAAATGCAACAACTAATTAACCCGTTGTCAGTATAATGTGGCCAGGCAGAATATTGTGCTAGATGCCGTTGTCAAGGTATTAATTGAGTAACCTCTTATTTCGACATTGTATTCTCTCTCTCACAAGGATACTTAAGATACCGTCTCCAGCACTATCACACGCATACACAAATGCTCGCACAGATTAGGGCGAGTACAAACCCCGGAATATCCTCGGACATAAAGAGATTATACGGGAATTTTTTACCAGTTCTGTTCAGTACTTTATTTGTTCAAGTTTTTCAACTTATGGCAATTACAGATACGAGGATAACGACATTCGCACGGACACTAACTCGTCATCATCACCATCAATCATTCATCGTCTTCTACTTCATCATCATCATCATCATCATCATCATCATCATCATCATCATCATCATCATCATATCATCATCACCATCATCATCATCATCATCATCATCATCATCATCATCATCATCATCATCATCATTCATCGTCTTCTTTATCATCATCAATAATAATTCATCAATCATTTTCTTTTTTACGCACTTTCATACACATGCCAAAACCATTTTTACACTGATACACCCAGACATGACTACATTAGCATACTAGTATTAATATATTATAATTCGTATTCAATAAACTTACATGCTACGTGTACATGTATCTATACATGACATTTTCTAGTGGTGATCTCTTCATAAATAATTTTATAAAGTCATGTCTCCCTAAAACCTAATGAACGTATATAGTGACCAGAGTATTAAAAACTAAATCATACCATTTGCATTGGTATAAGTTATGCTAAGCAATATTTAAAATTGAAATTGATAATGGTTCCCGAATTGAAGCACTATGAAAAAAAAATGACAATATTTTTAACTGTTCATATTCAAATAAATAAACATATCTCGATTAATACTAAACCGATTTTTGTTCGGAGACCACTCTAGGCAAGGAACTTTGGTACTCGTTACGATGGTTTCAGCTGTATGAACACAAATTAAAATGTATTGAAAACGTGGTCGCTAGAATGAATAATTGTCTAATTTTCATTGTCAATTTGTATCTTTCTTAACCTATAACTCAAGATTTGGTTTGGTTTTATTTTGTTTAACGTCCTATTAACATTTAAGGTAACTTAAGGACGTCCTTTCATATGTGTTGTGTAAGCGTGCAAGTGTGTTTGTGTGCTGGAGACAGGGTATATTGGTGTACTCACTCAAGGCAAGATCAGTTTAATATCTTGAAACTGATCATTTAAAAATAAAATAAAAGTGCAATACAAGGGAAGTAACTCGAACTGAAAGCAGATAACCTTTAACCATCCTTATTATGAAACGTAAATTACGGTCCGGGATAATAATACCCAAGGAGGTAGGAGCCAAATTAGGATCACGTTACATATTTCGTTTTTTTTTTTTTGCTTTGTCATGCAATAGTAAATGTTTTAACGTGATGCAGACGTAGAATGCATCGCCAGGTAACATGTATATATATGATTAAGTTACCTGTTCAGATAGCATCAGAAGTCGTATTGAAACTAAAAAAATGTCTGTAAGACATAAATGCTCCCGCTCATGGATGGGCCGGGCCGAGACGCG